AGCTGTCGCTATGAAAATACTGCAGAACAATTTCATCGTCAATTATAAATTTCTGACTCATTGATCTTCATAATTCAGCTGGTAAAAGGGAATTCCTGATTCATATGACATTTTACAAGTATACTGTTTTCAATAAGTATTATATACCTCTCGTTATGAATTTTGTCTTGATTATCATTGTGATACATATTCATACGATAAGAAGTGTACTATTTCCAATCAAGTTGTTTCCTTAATTAACGAAATACTGTTTATGTTAAATTCAAATTTTCGTTTCTGCAAACTTCTTCGAGTTGTTCCACTTTCGTCGCGAGGAGCCGCATATGAACAATCGGGAAGTCAGCAAAATTAAATAAAGATATGCTTTTCGTATAATGTTGTTTTCGAAGACTTTTGTGGACGACAATATTGCTTATACTCACATCAGTGAACGTAATTAGAGACAAATGTATTATATTTGCTGCTGTGACTGACATTGGATTATTCGACATAATAATAACCATAATCAAACTACGTGCCTTCTTCACAGGCAGCTGATACCAATCTAACGTATTTGATATCTCTTTAACAACATTACCCTGAAACAGAGAAATTTCACAATGACAATCGTAATAGTGTCATTTCAAAGAAAATTCTGTTCGTAACAATCAGTGCTATACCTCGTCGATAAGAAGCTGTCCAATGTAGCAAGTCATGAACGCGGCGATCATAGTTGTTATTTGCAACAGAATGTACGTTATTAAAGCAGTGGTGTTGCTATTTTCCCATTCCTGAAATATGAGCATTGACAAATTACCAACAGAACTGTAGGGTTATAATGCAACACAATTGCAATTATTTGTTACTACCATGATCATGCTATATCCAACTACACTCATGATTATCACTTCGCCGGTGAGCTCCACAAAGTAAATAAACGATGTGACGTGTTCAGAGCGATCAAAATAACTGTAACAAATTATTCACTAGAGTTACGGTTATTGGAATTATTTTGATCAAAAGATTATCTAAGATAACTCTCTAAATAACTTCCCGTATATAAATATCTATTATCCTCAATCACATTAATTATATTAGAGACAAACTACCGAAGGATGACAAAAATGTTTCAATTGTACGAAAGAGAAAGCTGAGAGAGAAGAATTACTAGCATCAGTTTCTGAGTTGTAATAAATGTATAGAATGGACCAAAGTTTATTATTAGCTCAAATATTACCGATACTAATGTTGGGGAAAAAGTTGATATTAGAGATATGATATATCCTTTTTTCTGTCATTAATAATATTGGAGACATTTGAGGTAACAATAGATATTGGTCCGTACTGTGTATATAAAAGCAAATTGCATAAAAGGCGCTTTAACAGCTAATGGTTTATTTTGCTTATATATTACTGTTTAAAAAGGAAGACGCACCTTTTGATTTTCGTTTGATACTCAACAATATCTGTGATCTTTTTCTGCACAGTTTCTTCATCCGTTTCCGATAAACTCGACAGCTCCCTCATTTTATTCCCCAAGATTTTCAGCATGCTGCACATGTGTAGACAAAGCGTCGCGCAAAGCCCAAGAATTCCAGATACTTCCGTATAACTGAGAAACCCGCTGAAGACTTGTATGAAAAAAATTATCTCGTAATTGGGTGTTAGTTGCTCGTTGAATAAAACAAAGTAACCTGGACATGGTAGAGGTCTTATAGTCGTGTTATCCGGTAGAACGACTTTTTCTCTCAAAAATGGAGTGATCGTCCGTAAACTCGTACCGCCGGTGTACAAAAAGATCATGAACGATATTACCAATCTCTGTCCAATCGTGGCTCTGGTTTCGTAAATCCTTTGATCCTCTTCCGTACCACGAAACCAATCGTTTCTTAAGTCGTCCAACAACTCACGTATCTCGTCATGCCGCCGTAAGACAATAGTATACTTGAACAGTTGGCTGAAGGTGTTACACTGTGGTACCAGCAACTTGATCCGTGATCTGGTGCTTTTCGCTTTCAAAATTATGTACAGTATACTCGGTACTATGACCACGAATTGTATGAGGTAAACAAAAAAAATCGTAAACCATTTTCTTATCTTCGAAAGAACAGAAGGTCTAACGTTCGTTGGCCAGGCACTGAGTACGTTCAATAGTGGATGCACCACCCGGAAAATGTGATTTATACCATCTTCAGCGTTTTGCACTCGGGTCATTTTTTGCGTGGTGTTTAGAACGGATGATGATACCTGACTGTCCACATTGTTACAAGTCTCCGAGTCCAGGACACTCGCCGCGCTTGCGCGCATAAAATTTTAAACATCGACAAATTTGCGAAATTGCTGTTATCAGAGAGTTCCTAATGCATGTGAGGGTTGTAGAATTGCATTTTGAATCTTTATGAAGGGATTGTGGTAAATTGCTTGAAAATACGTACTCGTATACGCGAAAGGTTACGTGTATCGTTTCCCCTATCGACAGAAATTATTTATTTTAACTCGTCATTTTTTCCCCCGATTTATTTTCTCAATCGCTTGGAAGAAGATTTGGTGCCTTGACAATTTCAGAAAATATGTTCAGATGTAGTAAAAAATAATTTGAATTTTCGGGCAATTCATTTATATTCTGTGTCCGTTATTTTTAACGCAAATTCTCATTCTAATATTTATTGAAGTTCTGTTCTCATCATTTGTGGAGTTTGTAATAGATCAATTTACCTTAATAGTACGTGTGTATAGAAAAGTTTCATTTGCGAGATTACGGTCATGAAATCATCTGTTATTGTACAACAAAGAGAACTTTTTCTCGATAGAAATAGAGTTACGATATTCCACGTATTTTTAAAGTAATGTTTCATCAATTGGTACGGCTGCATTTTAAATGGACGATTATTACTAGCTTTGAATGAAAGGGTTCCGTATGCAACGAACATGCATAGTTCAATTACAATGCATGGACAAAAAGGAAGGAAGCAGAGAAATACAGTGGTTCTGGTCTCAACATTATCTAACAATTTTAGATTTCAAAACTGATCGGCTTCTTCTTCTAACCGTACGTCCCAGTAACAAAATATTAGAGTTATATCATTTTGTGCTGTTCCTTCAATGACGTCACACGAATTGAAAAGTACAGGTATGCCGTTCGTATTATGTATAATAAATAAAATTTTCTAATGTTGGGTTCTAATTCTCTCTCAAAGGCATTGCAAGGTAGCCTTGTTTAAAATCACCGCAAATGAAAATTTATGTGTTACATTTCTGCATAGTACATTTTTTATTTCTTATTCCTCTTGGAATTCACCGTTATTGTTGCCGAGGAGTTTTGTGTGGGATTAAACTTTGACTAAAAATGTTAGATTTAATTAGACCAGAGATAGACTCCAATTGTGTATTGCATTGCTTACATTGTTGTTGTGCTGTGTTGTTCTGCGTTATTTTTGCTTGTTAGATCGTAGTTGTCATTGATATTTGGATACGTAAAATGCGTTAATATCTAAGTGCATGCTTTGTTAAGAATAGATAATAACTTAAATAGGTTAGTAATAGTAACTTAAGTGTAATTCTGAGACACGTATTTGTTTAAGCTTCTTAACTATTGTTATGCAATGAATGTTGTGACACATGTAGTGTTAGTTTTACATAAATTCTATTTTCATCGAAATTTAATTTCCCGCGACGATTTTTCTTTCTCTATTGGTTGATTTGCACAACGATCAAGATATTGCCTGTTTTGTGAATGTACAGTAGAAGAAATATTTATTCTCAAATTCATGTTTTAAATTAGTATATTTCTGTTCGGTGAAGCAGAGTGAATGGTTCGTTGTTAGTGGGTTTCTACTCGCAATACCTCCACTTGGTAAGACCAGGGCAATCGGTAGTATGTTACTTGATACATAATTACTGATTGCNAATGATATATCTGTAAATGAGAGGTAGCATTTTATTTATCTCGTCCACTTTTCTCACATTATATCGAACATTCGACAAAATTTATTTGAATTGATAGGTTATTTAATATTTTATCAATAAGTTCAGAATTTTAATTTACTGCATGAGGGAGTTAAATAATACGGTAAAACGTGGATTGAACTGTTCTATATAAGTCTGATATATAATTGAATAATTTCGGCTAGTTACTAGCTGCACATTTGATATTGAAAAATTAACAATAATGATTGATTTGAAAGATGTTTCTGGCTCATTCGCTACTTGAACAACTTCGATTGTTTTAGATGTAGTTCCGCAACTCACTGTTGTTTAAGCATAGAGTACGCTAAAAAACCAATGATTGTTTTTACTATTCTGGTATTTTAGAGCATGGAGTACGAAATCTCATAAAATGTTTAGTCAATTCATATACCTAGTTTGTGACTACATGAAATACCGGAAAACTGCTCCAATAAATATTCAAAGAGTGGATCGTAATACATTGAAATATCCCACTGTTGTCTTCATACTCTAAAAAAGAATTTGGATCATGTAGAAGGTATAGAAGTGAAAAACTTATATTTATCCACAAAAATCTTCGTATGCTTTGTAAAAACCCCATTTTTACATAAATGGTTATTTTTCAGATAGGACACTGTCGTATTTCGCGACAGAGACTGTGAAATTTACGTAAATGCTCTTTTGTTATCTGTTTGTATTTTTTTAGTAGCGGATACACATTTGTTTCATAAATGGAGCACGGGTAGCCAAAATTAGAGTACGTTAATTGATAATTTATCGAAGTCATGTACGTTAAATATCACTCTCTTGCGACGAAAGTGTCTTAACTAAGAAAACGTGATTTTTGAGTTATAACTATGAAAATTTTGCAGAACAATGTCATCGACAATTGTGAATCTCTGATTCGTTGATCTTCATAATTCAGCTGATGAAAGGGAATTTTTGATTCGTATGACATTGTATTTACTTTTTATTATGAAGTCTGTCTTGATTGTCATTGTGAACAGGTACTAATTCGTAAGAGAAGTAGTGCATTATTTTGAATTAAGTTGTTTCCTTAACTAACAAAATAATGTTTAAGTTTTTTTAAAACCAAGTTTTAGTTTCTCCGAACAAATTTTTTCGCGCTGTTTCACAATCGTCGCCGAGTAGCGATACGCGCACAGTCGGGGAGATTTGGAATAATTAAATGCAGATGTTTTGATCATAAAACATTCTTTTCGAAGACTTTTGTAGACATCAGTATTGCTAGTACCCACATCAGTGAACGTAACTAGAGACAATTGTATCATATTTGCTACTGTGACTTTCATTGGATTATTCGACATGATAATGATTAAGATCAAAGAGCGTGCGTTTTTCACAGACAGCTGATACCAATCTAATGTATTAGATATATTTTTAACCGCATTGCCCTGATACGGAAAAATTTCATAATGAAAATCGTAATACTGTCATTTCAAAGGAAACTCTGTTTGTAGTAATCAGTATACCTCATCGATAAGAAGTTGACTAATGTAGCAATTCGTGAACAGGATGATAACCAATGCTATTTGCAATGTAAAGTACGTTACTATACCTGCGGTATTGCTATTTTCCCATTCCTGAAATATGGCCATTGACAAATTACGAAAATAACCGTTGGGTCTTAATGCGTTTTCAGTAACACTTTTTTAAGTGATTGTTACTACCATGATCATGATATATCCGACTATAACCATTACTGACATTGCGCCGGCAAGATCCAAAAAGTAAATAGGCGATGTAACGTATTCAGAGCGATTAAAATATCTGTTGTGAAGTTTTCATTAGTTACGATCATTGGAATTACTTTGAATAAATTATTAGTCGAAGATCGTTCTCTAAATTTTTCCCCATATTTAAATTATAGTAGAGACGAACTACTGAAGAAGGATAAAAAGACTTCATCTGTACGAAAGGGAAATGTAATTCCACAAAAGAATTATTTTTATCAGTTTCTCAGCAAATTACGTTAAATATATGGGTTAAGCCAAAGATTATTAGATTGTACAAATATGTCCGGTATTATTAATGTTAGGGAAAAAGTTGACGTTGGATGTATAAAGTATCCTCTCCTCTGTCATTAATAATATCGGAGACATTTGTAGCGGGTATAGATATTGGTCTGTCCTGTATATCTAAAATTAAACTGCATAAAAGGCGTCTTAATAACAAAATGATTTATTTTGCTTGAATATTACAATTCAAAAAGGAAGACTCACTCTTTGAATTGTGTGTGATACTCAACAATGTCCGCGATTTTCTTTTGTACAATTTTTTCATCCGTTTTGGATAAATTCGTAAGTTGGTTCATTTTATTTCCTAAGATTCTCAGCATGCTGCTCATGTGTAGACAAAGCGTGGTGCACAGCCCGAGAGTACCAGATAATGTCGTGTAATTGATGAACCCGCAGAACACTTGTACGAAAAAAATTATCTCATAATTGGGACTGATTTGGTCGTTGAAAAAAAAGTAACCTGGACACGGTAGATGTCTTAACGTTGTGTTATCTGGTAGAACGGTCTTTCCTCTTAGAATTGGAGCCAGGGCTCGGACACCCGCACCGCTGCAGTACAGAAATATCATGAAAGATATTACCAATCTGTGTCCGATGGTGGCTCTGGTTTTGTAAATCATTTGATCCTCTTCCGTGCCATTTAACCAATCGTTCCGCAAGTCGTCCAGCAACTCACGAATCTCGTTATTCCGCCGTAAGACAATAGTATACTTCCACACTTGGCACAAGGAGTTATAGTGCGGTAGAATCAACTTGATTCGGGATCTGGTGCTTTTCACTTTCAAAATTATGTACAGTATACTCGGCACCATGACCGCGAAATGTATTGAGTAAATAAGAATGATTTGAATCCATTTCTGTACCTTCGAAAGCACAGAAGATTTAACGTTCGTTGGCCAGGCACCGATTGCGTGCAATAGTAGATGCACTAACCACGTAACGTACTTTACACCTTCTTTTGCGTTTTGCACTTGTGTCATTTTTTGAATAGTGGCTTCAACGGATGGTGATACCTGACTGTCCACATTGTTACAAGTTTCAGAGGCCAGGTCACTCGTCGCGCTTGCGCGCATAAAGTTTTAAACATCGACAAATTTGCTAAATTGCTGTTGTCGAAGCGTTCCCGATGCACGTGAGGGTTGCAGAATTGCATTTTGATTCTTTATGAAAGGATTGTGGTAAATTGCTTGAAAATACGTACTCGTATACGCACAAAGTTACTTGTATCTTTTCCCCTATTCGACTGAAATGTCTCATTATTTTAACTCGTCATTTTTTTTTCCCCCGATTTATTTTCTCAATCGCTTGGAAGAGTATTTTGTGTCTTCACAAATTCAGAATATTTGTCAAGACGTGATAAAAAAGTATTTAAAATTTCGGGGAATTTATAACATATTCTGTGTTCGTCATTTTTAACGCAAACTCTCATTCTAATATTTATTGAAGTTTTCTTCTGATCATTTGTGGAGTTTGTAATAGATCAATTTACCGTAATAGTACGTGAGTATAGAAAAGTTTCATTCGCGAGATTACGGTCATGAAATCATCTGTTATTGTACAACAAAGAGAACTTTTTCTCGATAGAAGTAGAGTTACAATATTCCACATGTTTTTAAAGTAATATTTCATCAATTGGTTAGGCTGCATTTTAAGTGGACGATTATTACTAACTTTGTATGAAAGGGTTCCGTATGAAACGAACATGCATAGTTCAATTACAATGTATGGACAAAAAGAAAGGAAGCAGAGAAATACAGTGGTTCTGGTCTCAACATTATCTGACAATTTTAGATTTCAAAATTGATCGGCTTCTTCTTCTAACCGTACGTCCCAGTAGAAAAATATTAGAGTTCATATCATTTTGTGCTGTTC